TTTTTTTTTTTTTTTTTTTTTTTTTTTTTTTTTTTTTTTTTTTTTTTTTTTTGCTTTCGGCCGAATTTAGTAATGTATTAAATAAATCTCTCTCAAAGCCGTTTTAATTGAATTCTTGACCATCTATAAACTTTATTAAATATTTAATTATTTTTTAATTCCTAAATCTTCAATTTTGTTTTATTCAATATTTTATAAAATTTAATATTTATTATTAAAATTTTGATAATCATTTTTATATCTAATAGATAAATTAGTTTCGAATTAAAAAGTCCAAATTTTTTAAATTAGTTTTTTTTTTCTTTAATTTCTTACAAATTTCTCAAATCTATGTATTGGATATTGGGGAAATAAAACGAAGTAAAGCATATTCTTGTATATAATTTTGAGCATTAATAATAATAAATTAAAATTATCAAACGTGAAGTTTGGAATGAAGCAATTATTAGGGCATTCAGATTAGAGCTCTCCTTTGACTCATTTCTTTTTCAAAATTCCCAATTTTAAAGTGATTTTTATTCTCTCGAATCTTCATTTTTTTTCGAACATACCAACAATCAGATCAATCAATTAAAGTTGTGTTACGAGAATCTAAATGAATTATAATTCATATTGTAAGGAAGAGAAAATCGTGTACATTGTGTGTAATTTATCTAACGTGTCAGTTATCACGGTCATACTTGTCTAAGATGTATTGCTCATAGTCACCTAAACTAAGATTTTGACACAAACACCAAAATACTACACGAAGAGCTATAAAACTCATGTACATAAAAATCAACTTACCAAAAAACAAACACTAACGTATAGTTCAATGAAAATTTAAATATTTTAACCTGAGTGTATATATGGTATTATTTATAGTTATTCTTATTATTTTTTTTTAGGAGAAAAAAGAAAAAGAATAATAGAAGAAGAGAAGGAAGGTCCGACAAAGGTGGATAAAGAAGAGACAGGTTTCCAACATTATGATTCCAATTAAGGAACCAATTTAAGTAAAATTAAGATTATTTAACCCTAATCTTACTTTGTTTTTTTTTTTTGTTGGTTTGTTTGAGGTTAATTTTGTCCTATCTTCATCGGGGGAACAAATTGGAGGTAATTGTTCCATTAACTTTTATAACTTTTCTTATTAACCAATTTATTAATCTAATCTATATGCCTAAAACAACCCTAATACATCTTAATAATGATTCTAAAATGTAGAATTAAAGACCATTTTTAGGTCCTATTTTCATTACTATTTACTTTTTCAAATTTAATTCTTTTCATCTCATTTCTCTTTTATCTTTCTTATTAAAATAATTCAATTTTTAACTAATTTTTTATTTTAAAAAATAATTTTGAATTCTTTTTTTCAAGACTTAGGACATATTTTTTAAAATATAGGTAAAAAAAAAATAGATAAGGTAGATAAAAGTAGTATTTATAGGCTTATTTTTATATAGTTATTAAACCAGATTTAATTTTTTCAAATAATACGATAATACGGATGATAGGGTCCACTTATGATTGGATATAATTTCTCTCCGTCACTCATATCTATGGAATATAACTCGATTTAATCGAAAAAAAATGAAAGACTTTGAAATATAGACTTCTTGTGTAATTTTTTTTAATCTAAGGTGAACTTAATTTTTATTTTAAATCCATAAAAATAATATCAAAATCTTAAAAAAAAAAAAAAAAAGAGCATAGAAAGTCCAAGCTCCTATCTTTTTCCAACCGCTTATGATACATTAATTTGGAGCATATGGTTCCTTCATTAACAAACATTAGGTTAAAAAAATAAATATTATAATGACATTTTCTATATTTTCATTAACAAACAAATTATTTATATAGAAATGAATGAGCGGAGGCCCATTTAAGATTGGGAGGGTATGGTCTGAGTACAAGGGGGCCATATGGACCACAACCTATTATGTTATCCTACATTAAATTATACTAAATGCAAATACACTCGATCGAGCTCACTAGAGTTCTCCAACAGCACACGATAAAGTAGACGATTTGGATTTGGACCCAACTAAAGAGCCGTTTTAAAATGGGTATAGCTAAAATTCAACCGATTAAAACATATATATAAGATAAAACGAGTCGGAGCATAAAGAAAATAAGACCACCAAACACGAAAAGAGAAGAGAAACTTCAGCCAAATCATAAGTTTCCGAGCACAAGCGTATCCTTCTTTAACTTGAAGAAGGTAAACTCTTCCTAACTCTCTTAAAGTTCTTACATGGGTGCAAGTTTTCTTTATTTTATACGTCAGGTTTTTTTCCCTCAAATAAATTTTATCATTCATGTCACGTAAATGTCAGCTGGATTCAAAATATATATATATATATATATATATATATATTTATTTATTTTTATTGGAGAAAGGGGTGGAAATGGAATAATTAAGTTATTTTGATAGGATTAAAAAAAAAGAAAAAAAAAAGATACTTTATAGTTTTTGTTTTTTAGGACAGACTTTATGGTTAAAAAATATAAATAGAAATGGTGAGTTCTTTCAGATATCTTTGGTAAACGACAATGCAACTTTTTGTTATTCAAATACGCATCAATCCTCACCAAATTATGATTATTATTATCATTTAAAGAAACAGTAACTACATTATTGTTGTTCCTCCATTTTTTAGATGGTAGATATTGTATGCTTTGACCTATTACGTATCGTCGTCAATCCCACGATTTTAAAACGTATCTATTATAGAGAGAGTCTAGCTCTACTCCGATCAGCGACTCCACCATCTGGTGACTTGACTGGCTCTCTCTAACCAACGTGGAACTCACAATCCACCTTTTGATATCATTTGTAATAGCTTAAGCTCACCGCTAATAGAGTTTCCAACAAATATAGAAGGTTGGTTTTGGGAAGGTAGTGTGATTCAGGGAAATGGGGGTGAGAAAGAGTAAATGTTGTTGAATTGTGTTTAAAAGAAAGAAGAAAAGCATGGAAGTCGTTTAGAATTAAAAGGGGAAGATGGGGGAAATGGGAAAACGGGAAAAGTTTGGAAAGGTTTTTGAATAATGCCTCTGCTTCTTCCTTCATTTACTCTGTCACTGTCTTTCTTATTGTGAACAGAACAGAGGAGGAGGACTGAGCCTTCACATGACTTCTCTGCAAATCACGCATTCAAATTCCACAACAAAACTAAATAAATAAATAAAGAAAGAAATTCTCCTCCTCCTCATCCTCCTCTGCAATACAACCATTACCATGTCCTTCTTCTGAACCTCTGACTCACCTCTCCGAACAACCTACTTTTTCTCTCCCTATCTTTACTTCTCTTTTCCTTTTTACCTCTCCTTTCTTCTTCTTCTTCTTCTCAATACCTTAATCCCTCTTCCTCATTTCTCTATTCTGGCTCTCCCAACCATGGAAAGCTTCAGCTTGCTTAAATACTGGAGAGGAGGCGGCGGTGGTGGTGGTGCGTCTGCTTCTGCCGCCGCTGATTTTGCTTTCAGCAGTACTTCATCTGCTGCCACCGCCACTGTTGTCACTGCCGTCGCGAGGAACCAGGCGGAGACTGATGAGGATGAGGATGACGATGATGGGCCGTTCTTTGATTTGGAGTTTGCGGTTCCTGATGAGGATGAGGGTCGGAAACAGGGGGGAGATGGAGATGGAGATGGAGATGGCAGAAACTGTGATGATGGAAGTGAGGAGGAGAATGATGATGATGAAGAAGAAGAAGAAGAAGAAGAAGATGGGGACTCGGATGGTGAGAGGGAGTTCGATTTCACGCTCTCGTCTGGCTCCACCAATGAACATTCCGATGCTAATCTTACGTTCTCTCCTTCAGATGACTTGTTTTTTAAGGGTAAGCTTGTCCCTGTTGAAGCTTCCTCCAATGGCGGTTCTGAACCCAACTCCAAACCCCAGCTTCGTGTCACATTGTTGAAATCAGCCGCGAAGTTTAGGGTATTTATGTCGGGTCTCAAGAAATCGAAATCAAACGGGGAGAAGAAAACAGAGGTGGATGGATCTGTTGGGGAACCGACGAAAGGTGAGACAACAGAACTGACGCCGGAAAACCCACCGGAGAAAAACGAGAACCAATCGGACAAAAGCCAGAATCAAACGAAAAGTAAGTTATTTGCCGTGAAACTGAAGGTAGAGGAAGTTCCGATCATGTCTCTGTTTACCAGAGACAACAGTTCAAGAGGCTCCGCTGGAACTACCACCACCACCACCACCACCAACAACAACAACAACAGTAACAAAGCACAGAAACAAAGCTCCGACGAATTAACCTCTGAAGAAAATCGATTTTCAAAAGACGTAATAATGCAAAAGTACTTAAAGATGGTGAAGCCTCTGTACATTCGGGTTTCACGGAGATACGGCGAGAAGTTCAGGTTATCCGGACAGCTGATTTTGGGGGCAGCCAGAGCTAAGTCCGGTGCACTGCCTACAATAGCGGCGCCACCCACTTCCCCACCGGTGGAAAAGACCGTGACAGACACAGAACTTGTGGAAGTACAAGCACAAACAACGACCATCAACACAAAGGGCCGGAACATGCCAGCCAAGCTAAGAGTGGTTTGCAAGCACTTGGGGAAAAGTCGGTCAGCTTCCTCCGCTGTAGCAGCGGCTCCACCCGGGCAGGCGCCGTCGAGAAGGGACGATTCACTTCTGCAGCAACAAGACGGAATCCAGAGCGCCATTCTTCATTGCAAGAGATCCTTCAACGCCTCTAGAGGTAAAAAAAAAAAAAAAAAAAAAACATAAACTGTTCTGTTACTTGTACTAAAAGCTTCACCTTTTTTCTTCAACTTCATTAATGGATCAATTCTTTTGTGTCTCTTCTACACCAAAAACAACAGATTCAGAGTCTTCCCTGCTGTCTCTGCGTGAGAAACCTTCAGATTTCACAGAGAAAGCCATTGGCTGAAGGTAAAGAAAAACAGCGATCGATCCATCAATCCATGAGAAAATTTCAACCCAAACAGGCGGGAAAATTTTGGTCAATATCCTTCACATTTCTCTCGCTTAATATATATATATATATATGTAGTATATATGTAAATGTTCATCTGTTGGGTTAGGAAGGATTGAATTTGTGGGTTCCTCTGGGCTTCTAAGTAAAAAGTTTGAATATTTTTCCAGTGAAGGGTAAAAAGTATTAGGAAGTGATGATACATAGAAAGCAAGCAGAGTTGGGCGCCCCATGTATGTGATTTTCCTATGCCTTCCCCAATTGAAATTTTAAGAATCACTGAGGTGAAGTGGGCGGTTTGAAATTATGTTGCTTTTTTTGGCTTTTTAGATTGGTAAAGGATGTGGGTCTCGGTAGGCCAGCCATCTCTGTGGCAAAAATAGTGTCTTTAGTGGTCAGAGAACTTGGGAAAAGTGGGGTTTTACTTAAACAGAGAAAATGGGTTCTATCTTTCCTTCCTTTTTCTTGTTTTTATCCAATGAATTATGGTCTAAAAGTAAGAGTAAAGGGGGGAAGCATGTGGGGGTTAGTTAAAATGACTTTATGGAGGTTTATTGAATGCCTGAATCAATTGAAGTTTTTTATGTTAATGTTTTAATATTAGGGGGGGTTTATGGATCCAATTTTGTGTTTTCAAGACACAGGGTTTTGATTTGGTCCCATGAAAATCACTGCCTCTGGGAATAATACTCTGTTGTTCTATGTCAAATTGTCATCATATTGTCCATATTATGGTTGGTTGTTTTCTTCAAATCATAGTCTTTTGTAAGTACATATAATCGTGTTCTAGTCTTATGGTTTGGAGCTTTCTGTGTTATGTTTTCTTCGCCTTTATTTTTTTAAACACCATTGTTGTCCATCACTCCATCCTCTTCTATGTTCTACTCTATCCATTTTGTCCAAAGCTGAACTGTGCTTGAAGTTTTCGTTTTCTTGGTTAAATTATAAATTTAGTTTCGGTAGTTCGAGGCAGGGCAGGTTGGATTAAACTTCATAAATAGTCACCAACCCATTAGAGTTTTTGCATCATTGATTGGAAGGAGAGGAAGAGAAACTTCCAAAATCTCACGAGTAAAAATGATTCAGATTCTCCTTTTTTATTGCAGTAAAGGGGTGTTTTTTGTAGAACACTTGCCTCAGAATAAGGCTTTTTTTTTCAACCCTTTTTCCTATGTTTCTTTCTCTCTCATTGCTTTCACATTGGGAACATAATAACCAGCATGATGAGGTAGAGGCAAAGGAGAGGCATCATGTGACAACCTTGTAGAATATGGACAAGCCCTATTTTTCACTTCTCCACTCTTCCTATCCTTTATTGTTTTGTTTTGTTTTGTTTTGTTTTGTTTTGTCAGCCAGAGAGATTAGGCAGATGATTAAGGGGAATAGTTTGTCTCCTACTACATGTGCAGCCACGGAGGTTGACCACCAGTTCTTCCCTTGTACCCATAAATTTAACTCATTATAATAGTGGAAATGGAATAGTGGGTTTCCACTTTCAACTAGGATGGATTTCTTTGAGAGAGTCCGCATGTGACAACCTTGTTTAGTTTTGAATTTGTCATTCTCATCTATGTGCCTCGATTTAGGGAAAAGGAGACTTCTTGTCTTCGTCCTCTTTGTCTTCTGATTCGCCTAGAATTTTAAATCAGGATAAGAGAAACCACTATATATATAGTTTATCTATTGGGAGGAGGATCTTGAATGGACACTTTTTTAATGGAGGTGATTATTGACTTGCATTTCTGAATCTAAATCTAACTTGCCTACTTGAGAGACTACTTAGCTTCAAAATCTATATACATCTCTTCATTTTCTTTGGTCTAGTCCTACAGTCCCAACCTTAACATTTTCTATAAAAAAAGTAGGATGGAGCTTGATATAGAAATTAGTACTGTAGAAGTATGCATAAATTTTAAAGCAAAAATTAGACACTATCCAAGGTGCTCACATGGGGTCAAAGAAATAATAACAATAACAAGAATCCCCCCCGTCCCCCTGAATATACAAGAAAGAATGTTCCAAAAATATTCAAATATCGGCATTATTCACAGGTATAATGGTAGGCAGTATAGTATAAGAATTAGAAGCTGACTCCCACTTCCAGAGCTCCATTTAATCCCCTTATCCAAACATCAGAATCGTTTCCTTTTGCAACCTCTATGAATGAATGCTATGACAAATCCCAAAATATCTCCTACGATTTGGTGAACTTCTTTCTCCTGTGTAGGTGTGTATTGTACCATCGGTTCAGCATAATGGTAATCATATATACAATGCAGAACCTCGGCCTGTTTAAAATTCCTAATCCTAATTAAACATGAACCATAATGTTTACTTGCAATTTACCTGTGGCTAAATCTTCCAAAGTCTCCTTGTATAACTTGACTTCTTCAGTTTTTTTTTCTGTTTTCCTACCTACTCTCTACTAGTTGTCAATCTTATGTTCTTTTTTCTTCTTTTTCACGGCTTCTCCAACTTTAATGTAGAAAATTTTAATCTTGATATATTTTTGAGATGAGAATGGAGGATCGTGAACGAGGACAGCAGGGAAGAAATGATGCATCCAAACTTATCTTAAAAATGCTCCTTGTGGAAGTCTAACTTGGCCGAGCCACTTTGATTAATCTCATGGCAGAGCTGTCCAAGTTCTTTGGCCAATACTGGAGCTCCGCAATAGAAGACACCTAGTAGAAAATGTCAAAACCACAACAATATGAGAAGAGGGTACGGTTCCATTAATAGGATTCTATTATGATATAGTTGAAATCAACCTACCTATCCTTGCACCACAGTGCTTGGAACTGATTTTGCTGAGAACTTTCTTCCAGTTGGGCCTGGCAAAATGGGTTCGCACCTGTATTGGATCCAATAAAAACTTTTTTATAGATGTATAATGGACGACACAGTGAGTCAAGAACCAACCTGGCAACTAAATTTATCAGCCAACATAGGAGTACTTAAATTCTTCACAATTTTTCTCCAAGTTTTGTTGATTGCATATTGGCATAATTTTCAAATTTGTATATCAATCATAAAGGAAGTGAAGAAAAGGTATTAGAAACAGTAGTGAATGATTATGATTTTACCCTGGTGCCAGACACAACATCCACTCCATTCTTAGCATGACTGAGGGCTTGAACCATGGTAATGAGAGTTGAACGAGCGTCCCCTTCCTCATACACACTAGTCAGATAGTTATGCATCTCAATTAACCCCTATAATTCAAAACAATTGATACTCCCAATTAACAGACATGTCATGAAATCAAATTGTAAGTGTATACTCAACATCAGAACATGAGGACATGAATTACCCTTTGATCCAGCTCCGAGATTTCATTCATTACACCTTTGAACCAATCAAATGAACCTTGCTCTCTAGTTACCCAATAAAAGTAGGCATTAGTGGTCTTCAGACTATTTTTCCTTTTAGGAGCGAGAAAATCTTTGTTCACATAACTGAGGTCGCCCACATTACTGATCTCAGTTGATGAATCCTAAAAGAAACATGTGATAAGCATATTTAGTATTGTTCTCGAATTGCAGAGCTATTAGATTTTGACAAATGATTGATCACAGTCACAATAGAACCAGAAATTTGAAATTCAAAAAAAAATTCTCTCGGGTCTAAAACGCAGTTGATTCACTACCTGCTCCTCCATTTTCACAATGTTATTCAACAAATCCTTCAAAATGCTAATGAAAGGTGTTGCCCCAATGCCTAGGCCAACAAGTAGTAGCACATCATATTTATGGTAGTCCTGTGCTGGGGCACCATATGGGCCATCAATTGAAAGCTTTGGCAAACTGACATGGGCAGAACAAATTTCCAACATTTAAATTTAGGAAATGCAGTAAGCTAAAATGAGGTCTAAGACGAAAGGAATATTATAAGGATAATATTAACCTTTTAATGGTAGTTTCATCAGCTCTTAGAAGGCCACTCTTGCCGGAGACGGAAGGCTCACAAACCTCTGTGAAAATTCTTTTAAGCTCTTGGGTCCAATCACCAAGCTGCCGTACATGGATACTAAGGTAGTCATCTCCAGGAGCCGAGGTAATTGAAAAAGGATGCCTGCATCCCAAGTTTACAAAGTAAGTAATATATTAAAAACTTATTATAATTCAATCAACTTACAAGGATTTTTTTTTTATTTTTTTTATCAAATAGTGATTTGGCCATGCAGTTCACAAAGTTGACCCAAAAGTTACCTAAAATCTATTAGTTCAACTGTGGCAGTAACAAGTTCATTGGATTCTGCATCATAGGTTCAAAGTTCAAACTATGATACATGTTATCGTTTAAAATATATGATTTCTTTCTTCCTGTAAACACTCATTTTTTGGAGGTAGGAAAAGATTGATGAAATGATATGTGTTCGTTTAACTGTTCCAGAAATGAGACAACTTTCTTGAGGTTATTTTGCATTTATCTTACACAAGGGTAACTGGAAGCTTATTCAAAAGAAATTGTTAGTAAATCTGATCTTTCATTACCATTCAAAGGGAGAGACCGCAGGACACTGAACAAACATGTACTGTCCACTTTTGTATTGAAATTGGGGCGGCTTGAACATTTGTAGTTTGAGAACATTTCCAGGATAAATGGCAACCTAAATGTGTCACAGAGATAGCCATACATTTCAGAGAGAATTTATAAAGCAGAAGTATCTTGGTCTCTAACGTTTGTAGAAAGCTAAAATTTAGTCCCATATTTCATTTCTTAATTCAAACAAACCTTTTGGATTTGAACAGTGTATGATCCAGAGCGGAAGAATCTCAAGATTCTCTCTCCAGCGTACAGCAAAACTGGAACAGCGACATACATCCATGTCTGAAATCACCAAATTAGTATGTTAATCAGCCTTTTACGTTAATGAAGGAGCATTTAGTTGAGAGACGTAGGCAAAAGCAAAAGAAAATCATTAACTGATTACCGTCATAAGATACCATCTGTGCACAAGATAGAGGAACAGGCCATGAATGATGAGCAGTATGTAAACAAGAATGAATAAGTGGTGTGAATACCAGAAGGCATTATATCCAGTGAGCCTATCAAAGGGATGGGGTAGCTTAATGAGGTTCCTCCTAAACCATCGCGTTGCAAGTATGAAAGCTATTGCCATGAAGAACACCATTAAGATTCCTGTAACACCTTCACATCCTTTAACAAGGTCCATATAGCTGGGTTTAATCTTGCCGAAGTCACCAATCAAAAAAGCATATTCAGCTTCAGATGA